ACCTAAGTGCTCCCAAACAGATGAGTGGATCAAGAAGATATGGTGTGTATACATAATGCAATACTATTCAGTGATCAAAAAAGATAAACTCATGCCAGTTGTAGCAGCGGCTGGAGCTTCAATGAATAATGTTAAGTGAAATAGGTCAGGAGAGAAATAGCAAATGGTCTTACTAATATGTGGAATATAAAGTAAATTAAAGGATAAAGACAAGCTGAGAAACTAACTCTTGATAGCTGAATACAGAACTGAAACACCAAGTAGGAGAGGAACCAAAAGATAAGGAACAAGTGGTCTGTGTTGGTGCAATATGGATAAATTGGTGGGGATGCACTGTGGTGTTAGTACCTAATGGGGGCACCCCAATATTACCTCAGCTAAAATTAATTAATTAATTATTTTAAATTAAGCATAGAGTTTCATAAGGTCTGACAATTCACTTCTAGGTATATACCCAAAGAACTTAAAGTAGAAATTGGAAGAGGTAATCATGCATTCCTGTTTAAAGGAACATTATTCACAATAGCCAAAAGGTAGAAACAACCAAAATTATCTATCAGTGGATGAATGAATAAAAAATATGCAATACATAATGGAATTCTTCAGCCTTAAAATGTAGTGACATACTGACATATGCTACAACCTGGATCGACTTTTAATACAGTATGTGGAATAAGAACATAATATCATATGTTTTCTTAAAAGAACAAATAATATATAATAATTTATGATATATAATTATTTGAGAGACCTTATGTAGTTAAATTTATAGACGCAGAAAGTAGAATGATGACTACCATGGCTGAAGGAAGTAAGGAATTGGGAGTTTAGTTTAATTGTGTATTAATATGGGAAAATGAAAAAATTCTGATCCACAGTGCTGATAGTTGCATGACACTGTGAATGTTCTTAATCCTGTAGAAAAGTATTCTTATAAATGATTAAAATGGTATATTTTATGGTTAAAATGGTGTGTTTTATGGTATACATACTTACTACAATAAAAAACTAGAATATGTCAGTTTTTATTTCCCAGCCACTTCCAAAAAATTCCAAGTGATCAAAATTTAAAGGGAAAAAAAACACATCATGATTGTTGACATCATAAAGACAGTCATTGGGATGGCTCCCTGATGGCATAAGAGTTAAGTCTCAGCATTATCACCACTGCTCTGAGTTTGATCCTGGCCAGGGAGCTAACTCACATACGGCCCAGCAGATCTCTCCTGTTTTGCCTGCTGCTCCCCTGGGCAGTGTGTTTCAGTAAATCAGCCTACTTTGCTCCCCACTCTGTCTCTGGTGAATCTTCTTACTCCCCACACCTGTGGCCCATACTCCAGTTCTTCTATGCATAAATACATACATATATACATCTTTTTCTTTTTTTAAAAAGATTTATGTATTTATTCATACAGAACTGGGGTACAGGCCAGAGATGCGAAGTGTGAGAGGATTCACCAGGGACAGAGTGGGGAGCAGAACAGGCAGATCGATGAAATACACTGCTGAGGGGAGCAGCGGGCGGGTCAGGAGAGGTCTGCCTGGCCATGTGGCTCTCCTCCAGGGCAGGCGGGGATGGAACTCATGCGGAAGTGGCTTAAGCTTCTTAGTGCAGTTCTTTAACCCGCTGCACCACCTGGGAGGGCCCTATACATCTTTTTCTTAAAAAATAAAAGACAATAATTGGGAAGATCAGGGTTTTTTTTTCTTTAATGCTGAGGTTTTGGTGTAAAGCAGATTCAACTTAAAAGAAAATTATTTTAATATAGCTCCTCATTGATCATGCAGAAGGAGGAAAATACAAAGCAAATTGCTCAAGGGTAAGAGTCTAAAAATACATGTCTTCAAACCTGTAAAGTTTGGAGCTGTCCTATATCCCTTCTCCACAAGATATATAGATTCCTAAATAGACAGTTCCTCTGGATGGTCAAAGACGTTGAAAGGTCTGTGTGCTAGTGGCTGCAAGGGAGTCCAGAACACTACTCCAATGTAATAGGGTAATCCCCAGGAAAAGGAAAGTTTCCAGGTTCCCTGCCACCCAAAGAAGTGTAGAGCTGAACAGGGAGGGGAAACAGGAGAAGACAGGGAGAAGGAAGGAAGGAAAGGAAGAAGACCTGTAGGAGACACAAGTTGCTAAGAGACATGAAACAGCTGTGCTTGCTTCTAGGCTTGGGACTTGTACTAGGGATATGGGGGTCATGGAAGGAGACACTTGAAAGATCAGAGACATGGGTGAGAGACCATGATGAGGCTGACTACAGAAGTTTCTACTGTGACTTGGGTTTTGATTTTACTCTTTTCTTCCCAGATTTGCCTATTGCTTTCTGCCCCCTTTCCTATGGATCTTCACCAGAAGTTGCCTTAGACTGTCACAAGCTTTTGGGTCTCAGTGGCCCTGCTTAGGCCAATCCTGTTTGCTTGGACATTTACCCATGAAGGGATGAGTAACTTTGAGTGTTTTATGTGAAAACTATTTTATCTATTCTTTCCCTTCTCTTCTCTCTATTGTACACTAGTTGTGTAAAAGTTCCTTTCCAGCCCTCCCTGGTGGCGCATCAGGTTAAAGCACAGCACTGGGAAGCTGAAGCCACTTCCCCATGAGTTCAAACCCCGCCCAACCAGAGATGACCACATTGTGGCAGACTTCTCCTGACCTGCCCGCTGCTCCCCTCAGCAGTGTACTTTGTTAGTCTGCCTGTTCTTCTCCCACTCTCTCTGGTGAATCCCTTCACCGTCCTTGCTCCTCAGGCCTGTAGCCCAGTTCTGAATGCATAAATAAATCTTTAAAAAAAAAAAAATTTCCTTTCTATTGCACCAAGAGTATGTTTGTCTTTATGCAGTAGATGGCAAAACTAATTCAGAGCAGGCAGGTTTGGGAGTCCTAGTCCTCACCCAGCCCTGTACCACTTTTAGATTCAAAGTGTACTCAGCATTGGAGACAAAGTACAAGTGTGCGTGGATGCATGCATGCATATGTGTATGTATAGTCTTGCTTTATGGTAAATCTGGGTTGGAGACCCTATCAGAGAGAAGCCCTCTCTTTTGTAATGTTGCTGTGAACCAGGCTCTGCCATCATTTGTGGATTCAGGAGCAAAATGTGGCAGCCTAGTCAGAGATGATCAAACATGCCTGAGAGTAACTACATTAGCAGATAACAATTATCGATGTATTCTTTCACAACAAAGATTTATTTTAGCCAGCAAAGTCAAATGTGCTAAAGCTGTTTCCTTAACCTGCCAACCCATTGCATCAGAAGAAGCACCACATGGTCTAAATAACTGCTGCTGATATTTGTTCTCATGGTGATTCCTGAGTAGACAGCAAATTGCTAGGCTGAACTAATGATTTAAGAGCAGTCATTACACAGCTGTTGGCCTGTGTTCTGTGTAGCTCCTGGGGTTGTGTTGAAATCAAGTGGTGAGGAGCTCCAGACCAGAACTTTCTGCAAGGAGACTTAGGTTAATGCTGGTTTAAGAATCAGCTCCTAACTATGAGAAAGGTCCCAAGGAAAGATGAAGATGTAATCACTGGCATTGGAGATGAAACTGAGGGTTATAGGCAAGGGAGCCTCATCTTTGTAGTCAGCTATTCAGTCTTCCAGGAAACATGTTGAAGTGCCTCATAAACAAGTTTATGATATCAAAAATGACCCTTGATCCCTTGATGATGCTTATAGTTTACCTATCACCTTGTCAGTCTAGCTATACGCTTTAAAAAAAAAAAGTGTTAAGGAACTAGAGGTCAAGTCACATCTGCCGGTGAATATACAGATTGAAAAATAAATTCATTAGAAGACACTTGAATTGCTTTCAAGTTTTGGAAATTCAGTTTGAAAGTTAACCAGTGTGCCTGAACAGTACATCTCTTCCACTGCTGCTGAACTCAGGGCTGAGAGGCAATTCAGAAGGGCATGACTGGTGCTTCTCCCGGGTAGTGGTGCATGATTGGTGGGGAGGGGCAGCCTCTGCATAAAGGCTTACTACCCTACCCATATCTAGGGAGTGAGTGACAGTGGCCTAATGACCATTTTGAATGGTATGTCATATAGAATGGTATACCATTTTGAATGGTATTTAACTTAATGGCTATTTCAAATCCAATCTATTTAAAATATGGGTGGATCCAGAACTTTCTAACTCTCCCTTTGGTCACAACTCTCCATTTAGATTTTAGGTGTAAAAAGAGAGCAGCTTTCCATATGACCCACTCCTAGTTATCTACCCAAAAGACACAAAAACACTGATTCAAAAAGACACCTGCATCCCCATGTTTATTGCTGCTGTATTTGCATTTGGAAAAACATGGAAACAACCCAAATGCCCAAAAGTAGATCACTGGATTAAAAAGATATGGTACATACACAAAATGGAATATTACTCAGCAACCAAAAAAAATAACACATGCCTTTTGCAGCAACATGGATGGAGCTGGAAAAGATCGTGCTTAGTGAAATAAGCCAAAAAGAAAAGGAAGAATACCATTATTATTTTCTCCCCTGGTCCTTTATACTTCATAGCAGAAGTATAAAGGACCAGGGGAGAAAATAATAATAATGAATACATACATACATACATATATATGTATGTGTGTATATACATATATATATATACTGTGTGTGTGTGTGTGTATAGTTATATAGCAGAATGTAGTATATACATAGTTATATACCAGAAACATTTTGTGGGGGTGGGATGGGGAATGGGATCAAAAATAGTGGGGGGAGGGAAGTGCACTGGACTATGTTGATGGCACATGGGTGAGTTGGTGATGGGAAACCCATAGGGATTACAAATGAGATGAAAAAAGGCACAAAATGATGTAAAAATAAGCTATTATTTTTAAAAAGTTTAAAAATATTTTAAAAAGAGCAGTTTTTTGTTATTCTATGCTTTAAAAACAGGTCGATTATAAAAGAGGAATGCGCGCCCTTGATTTCAGGTGCTGCTGATTGAAACTAATGATTTTCTTGTGATGTTTCTTGCACTCTTTCTCCCTCCAGGAAGGGCACCTGTGGCCTTCAGACAGCTCTGGGTCTCGACCAGATGCTTCTGAGGTAAGGGATGGGCAAATGAAGTGTGGGTGGCAGAGTCTGACTCCTGAATCCCATGTGTAGGAGAAAGAAGAAAGGAAATAAACCATTGCAACCAAATTGCTAGACTGTTAAATGTGTTAGAGCATAAATTAGGAAGTAGTGCATTTAAATTAATGCATATGGCTATAACTGGTTTAAAAGGTGAGGGGAGATTTTCCTTAGACTCTCCTAAGGGTTATTTCTTAAAGAAAACATGTTGAGAACCAGTGATCTCTACATGATCCCATAAGCTGCTAGTAATAATGAAACTTGGCATAGTAACATCATTATTTACAAATATCACACCATGATGCATTCCCACATTGTCATGTTTAATGGTTGTTGTTGTTGTTTTTTTTTAATGATAACTGTTTGCCTTTAGTTTAAAATAAGAGTAATGTCAATGGATACACATCCACACACACATTACATATTTCCTCTTGAGGAAACTAGGATGGTAGAATAGTTGAGACGATATGTAAGAAATAACTGTAACTCATTTTAGAAAAAAAATATATAATCATATTTGAATGACATATAAAACTTTTTTTTTCATGTCAGCTACTAAAAATAAATACAGGATGGTTTTATCCAAAAAGAAATAATGGAAAAATATAGAAACCAGAAAGAATAAAAAGTCACTTGTTTCATTTTTTTTTTTTTTTAAGATAGAGCAGCAAGCATCCATAAATTGGCCCAATACTTCATGTCTGCTACAGGCACCATTATGGGCAGTTGTAGCTTATATTCACAGTGAAGACTCTGAGCCACTCCTTTTTCTTCTATAAGGTAGGGAACTGACACAACTGAGAAGGCTAGCCTCAGCCCTCTTGCTTTATAGATAATGGACAAGACCATGAGGATCTACAGAGCCTCTTCCACTCTATTACTGTTGACTACACTCTGGAAATTACTCCTGTTCTACTGGAAAACTGTTCAAAGGAAAACATAGGTAGCACACACAGTAACTCCCATTACACCTACATTTCCAGTTAGCCACAATTCTCCATGGTTGTGAAGATACATCTCAGCAAGGTGAATCATAGGAAGAACAACAAAGCTACACTTTTTTTTTCTTTCTGGAATAGTCTCCATTTTTGTCAGGGAAAAATTTCATGTGGTGAAAATTTCCTTGGCTCCATATGTTTGTGATCGTTACTATGCCATGAATGTCTTCAAGCCTCTCCTTTCTTTGCAGACCATGTATACCCCTCGGCCCAGGGACAGGTTTGCTGCCCCTTCCTTTATGCAGAGGGATCGGTTCAGCCGCTTCCAGCCTACCTACCCCTACGTGCAGCACGAGATTGACCTTCCTCCTACTATCTCCCTGTCTGATGGGGAGGAGCCGCCTCCTTACCAGGGACCTTGCACCTTACAACTCCGGGACCCTGAGCAGCAGATGGAACTCAACCGAGAATCTGTGAGGGCACCTCCCAACCGAACCATATTTGATAGTGATTTGATTGACATTTCTGTGTACAGTGGAGGCCCGTGCCCACCCAGCAGCAACTCGGGCATCAGTGCCAGCACCTGTAGTAGTAACGGAAGGATGGAGGGGCCACCCCCAACATACAGTGAGGTGATGGGCCACTACCCGGGTTCTTCTTTCTTCCATCACCAGCATAACCATGCACACAGGGGGAGCAGACTGCCGTTTCAGCAGGACAGCTCTGGGGACACAGGAATACCCATCCAGGGCAAAGACAGGAAGCCTGGGAACCTTGTCTGACCCCAGTTCTTATTCCAGCTGAGAAAGGAGATAAGAAGGGGAAAAGGCCCTCTGCTCCACTCAGTGTTACTCAGTTTTACGTGCGATAGCCAAGTAAAACCAAATGTGCAAACATGGTCTGTTTCTGATTCCTTTCAGGGGAATTGCATGCAAACTAGACTTAAATAACACAAACTTTGATGTAGTCTGACTGCAAAAAGTTATTTGGTGATTGCCATTAGGATGGGGGTGGTTTGGCAGCAGGTGGGCATGGGGATGGTGAAAAAGAGATGTTTTTAAAATATCATGAAATAAAACCCATACAGGTATTTGACTTATTTAACTATGAATGGAAGATTTTGCAGATAGAGGCCATAATGGCCTGTTTTATAATTATTGGAAGGAAGAGTTATTTTATATTATCATGGGGCAGAATAGGCCAGTTTGCTTTTTCTCCCAAGGTGTGGAACTTTTATTTTGTTTTAAAAATATGATTCAAAATTCCTGTTTTGTGTGCCAAGATATCAAGTGGAAAGGCTAGATGAATGCAGGGAGTTACTTTGTGTTGTGATGATGTGTTTTTAAAAGTTGCACTATCTAAATGTTTATATGTGAGGGAAATGTTTTAAGTAAAGTATATGTTCTGTATGTCTTTTCACCTGTGGATTGTTCTTAGGCCCAAGGAATACCAGGAGTGTTCCCCATAATCATGCAAGAAAAAACATTAGGTGATTTAGCCTAATATAGGTTGACTTACGTAAAAGAAGAAAATCATCTTTGTTGCAAGAATTTCCATCAGATAGATAGCAGTGCATCACTGAAACATTTGAGTGGGAGACAGGAAATACTAAATTCCAGTATTTCTGACTTGTCATTCTGGTAGTTTTAGGCTGTATTTTTAATTAAAATGAACCCAACACTCAAAACACAGCACCAGGTAATGCTGCCCTTAGCCTCCACAGTGTAACTTCTTCAGTAATTTTGATTTTTTTCATTATAGCATGAAATATACTCAGATACATAACTTTATGCAATAAGTAGTTTAATATGCAAGTTGATTATTTTGATAATGGGGTTTCTCACCTCATGGTCGCTTTCCCTCCCAAGATAGTTCCCTTCAGTCCTGAATGCTGTTTGGTATGCTAGGCTCTTGGCTCCTCCCTGTGGTCCTGAGTGTGAGCACAGCAGCTCTTCCTGCTCGGGAAGCCCTGGTGCTGAGGGATGTACACCAAGCCTTCTGCAGGAAAATCAGCCATTGCATCACTTGTGCAGCATTCCTGGAGGGATGTGTTACCCCAAACCCAGCTAAGTTTAGCCTTGGTGATGCAGCCAGAACAGATGATCAATGAAAAGTGGCAGGAGTGATTTTAAAAGCACAGGACAAAAAGCACAACATACAGATCAAATGAAACTAGAAGACTAATTAAATATTATTAGTCATAGTTTTAATATTCCTGATAATTACATACATTTGTTCTTACATAAAATAAACCACTTTTCTTCTGTGGACACAAGTATCTAGCTTTGTAACAGCAGCAGCCAGGAGGTCCGTTGCCTCCCAAACAGGGCTTCTTGAGCAAGTGGCCTGCCATGTGCAGTGAGTTCCCTGTGGCCTCTCATTGTTGCTGTGGGTGAGAGGGTTAAACTCTGGTTTAACCCCAACTTAGCAGGCATGCACTGATGTGTCTAGGGGTCTCTGTAGCAGTTTATCAGTGAGGTGGTTGTGTTGTTGACTGAAAGCTGGAGAGACTGTTCTGACCCCAGGTCCTGTTTATGCTCTCTGTTCCTTTCTGCTGCTTCTCTTGGTCTTTGTTCTAATCTTGCTTTGAGGTTGGAATTGTCATTAGATTCATCTGTTTCACACAGTAACATCTACAGAACTAACCAAGCTGCTAAAGGAAAATATTTGGGCAGCGGCTGTCACTCCTGCTTTACAACTTATATGGAATTGTGTGTTTGCTGAGGCCGCAGTGGGGTCCCAAATGGGACAGAGCCCCAGGAAATTTGACTGGGAACCAGAATTGTCTTCTGCCACCCAGAGGCCTCCTTAAAGGTCAGCTAGAAACTAGCCTGTGCACCTGTGTTGGAGGAAGTTGGGGAACTCCACAACATAGCGCCTAGCCCCCACAATCTGGTATCTTCATCTGGTAAAGATAAAGGAATGCATAAACTGATCTCAGAACAAGACTCAGGTGAATTGCTGATCAGGTGACCTCCTCAGCTGTGAGAAGGTTAGCTCATGATTTCATTCCAAACCTTGCCTGCAACTTTTTTGGTGATCCTTACAACTATTCTATTATCAGTTCTGTACTATAGCCTTTATTTCAGCCAGAATCATGGGCACAATCTGACTGTTTTCTGATCTAGTCCCTCTTCTTATTTTCAATGTATCATCAAGTCCTGTAGATTTAGTCTTCAAAAGAAACCTCTTATCTCTATTTCACAATTGCTTGCAATTTTGATAAAGCAGGTAAGTCAGCCCTATAACTTAGCTCAATATGGTTTTCCAGTCTTTACCTGCTACAAAAAGTAGCTTTGATCAGAAACTTCTAAATTCCTTAGTTGTGTTGCAAGTATATGAACTGATGTTTTTGTCTGGGCTTTTGTCTGTGCCAGGGACTTTCAGGATTATGAGCCCTAGAGCAGTCTGAGACCTATTTGGGGGAACACAGTGTTCAAGCATATGCTTGTTTTTCCAGAAAATACAATCTTCATCAAACACTGAGGCAGTCTTAGTATTTTGCTAAAGTAATTAGGCATTTAAAGAGATGATCTAGTGTTTATGTCCCTGACCAAGATTTAGTGTTAAAGCTGCTTGATAATTATACCCTCCATCCACTCCCACCCACACTTGCGTATGACACACAATGTACAATACATTTTATGACAGCATATTTAAAGCTAGAAGGACTCATGAGGTCTATCCATATATCCACTAATTTTAGTTCAAATTTTAGGGAGAGGAAATAGGGGCTAACAGTAAGTCAACTGTGGGCCATGAGCACATCTTCTGTACCTTTATTTCATCTTCCTAAGAATAAAGAGAGCTCAATAGATAAGCACTGTTCGGTCTAGAAGAATACAGTCTAAATCCTGACTTCTTGTCATACCAGTAGTAGTAACCTTGACAGGGGTGGTTCTATATCTCCCATCTTCTCGGTGGGTAGAGACCTGGCATAGTGGCCTTCAAAGTCAGCCTCAGACCTGAACTGGTTCATAACAGAGACACACCCCTGGACCCTGTCCCTCAAAAGAAGGTCCCTCCCCACCTGGCTACTGCTGTTCTGAGCCACACGGCAGTAGGACACATGGCTGTTGACCCACCGTGCACTTCCTGGCCTTACCTATTCCCCAGGTGTTTCTTGCTGCTTGTTATTCAGCAGGCAACATTAACTCTGTGTTAATTTGTATATGTTGATTTTCCTTAAAATTTTCAAAATTCAGTAGTGTAGTCAGTAGGGAGGATACTTGGTTTTTGTTAATTTTTGACTTTTGTCTATACAAATAAAACCAGAAATACCTTTTGTAAGATGACAAGCTCTGTCAGAGTCTTCAACTAGTGCTGGTGAGTGGAAATGTTGCTGCTTACTCTCATCTCAATGACCAGGCCTTGGCCAAGTCATATGAAATAATTTGATTGGATGACAAGTTGGCAGATCTCCCCTCCATATCATGAGGAATCCTGTGTCCAACAGTGGCACACCAAAGTCACAGATTAAGAAATTAGCTTTCACTCTGTGTCCCAGATGATAGCCTCCCTGCTATTCTAACTATACAGCCCAGGTCAGTAGAGGTGAGAGGCAGGTCAGAGGATAGAAAGTGCTCTCCTGACCTCTATTGTTTAGGTATCAGGATTTCAATTTAGGTTACTGTAATACCCTAAGAGCTATAACTTTTGCATAGTTTGTAATTTAGACCAGGGTTAGATAGTCATGTGCCGCAGCTGCTGCTGCTCTGCTTTCCAGGTTGCTGCCTCTGGAAGCTATTTTCTTTGAGCAGGTAGACCTTGCCCATCTTCCTTTCCTCTTCTTTCCTTCAGAGATGTGTGCTTGTCTCTGTGTGTTGTGGCAGGGGATTAGTGATCTGTAGAGATGACCTGTATGCTATCCAGATATATTGCCCAGACCCAGATTATTTCCAAGAACTCACATGTCAGTAGTTTTTAAGCAACCAAGGCATCTCCTGTCTGATGTCAGCAGATCTAGGACAGAACCTCCACTACCATGCCCTGCTCCCCACCTTTGTTGTGCCTCACTTACAATGGTGCTTTTTCAGTTGTCTGTCTTTTCTTATGTTTTTATGTGTAAGGTGCTGTATATAACTTGAATATATTATGCACATATCCTACCCAATGGGTAGAACAACAAATTGTTAATATTGTAATATAATGTATAGATGATATCAATTTTAACAGAAATGGCATAAAATTTGTGGATGCCTATGTGCTTTGTCCTCTTTTGTAAGGAAATTTGCAAATGGATGCATCAGATAAAAGTCTATGTAGTTTATTTTCCTATTAAATAACAATATTATAACATAAGGGAAAGAAGTCTGAATAAACAAGTCACAGCTTATGACCAGCATATGTATAGCAATTTAAAGTTGCATTTTTGCTGTGAAAGCTTTTTTAAAAATAATTTTTAAAAATCCCAGTTTTTTGCTTGCCACTAGATGCTTCTTATTTTAATCTCTGTAGTAACAATTGGACCAGTATTAGTTCTAATCAGAAAAAATGTTAATTTTTCAGCTTGCTTTATTGAGAAGACATTATCTCTTGTAGAATAATGATGTCTGACCCCAGTGAAAAGTGCACATTTTTGTTAAAATTACAAAATGTTTGTCAGATTAAGTGAACTGACCTGCAGCAGAGAAAGTTGTTCAGTACAGAGGCATCAATGACCATCTGTGTCCCAAGTGTTTCTGTGCCTTTGTCTTTACAAGTTGTGGCTATGGGCCAGTGAACTCACAGTCGTAATTAAGGGAAAGAATACCTCAGGAAATGTAAGTCTATTTAAGAGAAGACTCCATTCTTAGGAAAAAAAGTTTTGTTCTGGGTTATTTATTATTAGAAGAGAATTGGCCATCAGCCAGTCAAGTGAAAATCTTACATCATTCCTATTGGTGTGTTATGGTGACCTTAACATGAGAAGTAGAAAAGGTTTTGCCATTTTCAGTTGCACTTTATGTCAAATCTCCCACACAGCACCTACTTCCAAGTCAATTTTTTAATGTCTAATTGTGACCTATGCATTTAACCTTCAATTATTCTTTTGAAAAAGGAGAAAAAAGCCTCTGTTCACTGAAACTTTTGTTGAATCATGGGTGTGAGCATCCTCTCCAATATTATTCCCAATGCAATCAGTGACATTTGCCCATGAATCAGCATTTCAAGTTCATCTGTCACTAGAGGATTTTAATATTAATGAATTACATTTTCTTATTTGCTCTATAGAGCACTGATGAATCATAATCTTATCCTCTAGAAAACAAATGATTACTGATTATCCTGAAGCTGAAAATGCCTCTACTGGTACAACTCTTAATGCTGAATGAACTAAAATTCAATCTTTTTGTTATGTTTTTGGAAGGCCCATAAAATGATCATTATCTTGTGTGTTCTCAACCCAACCATCCCCACTGTTTGCTCCACTGTAGGTTGCAGGGGCTCTTTCATGGTTTAGCATTAAGAACCAAGGTTCATTACTGTCAGAAATGATACTCCCATTTGTCCAGGCTCAATCTCTTGGGAGAATTGTCAAGAAAGAAGTGTTATCACATAATTTCTAGACTCAGAAGTACTAAAATTTGTACTACATCATTGCTTCTTTGTGGAAATAACTGAGGCTTAAATTACCACTAATAATTCTAGTTCACTTTAATGTGCTTGTAGTATATTACTATTTTTCATTTCATGTTTCAAAAATCATTCTATTGTATACTTGTCTTGATTAAAGCTATTTTAAACTATTTATAATACTATTCACAGAATTTAGTTCACTTAATTTTTATTATAAAACAATCTTAACTTTAAAAAATAGCTGTATTTGAACTTTTCAATAGTTGTTCGTGTAAGCTATGATAATCAGAAACCATTAAAGTTTTTTTAACAACCATTTGTGCTCACTTTTTAACATAATTCCCAGTATATGCAGATTTTCCAACCGTTGTGTATCTGCCTCCTTTAACTGAGCAATGGTGATATAGTTCTTACACCTAAGGTCTGTAATTGCAATACTTTTAAAGAAAGATGTCGTTGCTCTAAGTGCTGTTTGTTAGTTATGAAATCAGCTTTTTTGGCTTGTTCTTAATGCTGTGGTAAAACCATAGCTCAAAGTCATTAAAAATAATGAATGACATGCTTATGGGTCTCCTGGGTTGTTATTTTGTTTGTTTGTTTTTGTTTTTTTAATCTTTCAAAAACAGAGCACTACTATGGGGGGTGGGAATTACATGGGCTTATTACACTACATCTCAAAGGAACACGTTTCCTCATTCCCTAGCATCCTTTCCCATTCAACTTTTTTCACTATGGACTTTTGCAAAATCACTATATTAGCTATTAACAACTCCGGTTGTGTCAGATCATGGGATTCTTTTCTCCATTCTACATGACATGCAGGGGTCATCTTCAGGTCCCACAGGAAAAGCGACTGAGAACTGCCTCACCTGAGCTGAGGCCCCATGGAGACCTTTGTGGTTGTCTTCATGCTTCTGAGTGACTGCCACAAAGAAGCTGAAGTAGCCTAGTCCACAACATGAACAAGCCCAAGAATGAGAACTACTGGGCGATGTGACACAGCCTCAGAGGGTAAGGTACTTGGCATTGGAAGTTTTCAGTCCATATAAAAGAGCAAAAAGACTCTAAATTTCTTACATTGAGAGATCAATACAATATCACTAGGCCAAAAGTTAGTGTGTGGATTTGCAGATGGCGTATATTATGTACAGAACCTCACACAATCTAGCATGGTTTAAGAAATCCAATTTACTTTTGCACTTCTATATTTTAGAAATTGACTTTGGAAACCCATGAACTTTGGGAAATGAAGTCTTAAAAATAAATACCAGCTAAGTAATTACATAAGCCCAACATTATAGTCATCACATTCAATATAGGTTTTGAATTGAGAATTTGGAAAAGAGATTTAAATG